CTGTGACTGATGTCATCTAGTATGGGCATAACTTCCTTTTAATTACACTGCCTCAAGCAATTAAATACACTGAAGAGGATGAATTACAAAAAGTCTTCTTGGCTGTGCTGTTTTAGTCTATTTTAAGGGGGTTTTTGTTTCACAATTAAGAGTATTTTCAAATCCATGACTGGTATTGCCAAGTGGCCATTTGTTATGCAACTTGTTTACCCTTCTGGTCTACCAGTACAAAGATTGTAATTCATGAAATACAGCTTTTTCTATGAAGAGTTGTTTCTTAGGGGAAAACACAGTCTGTGGTAGAAGTGAATAAAGCATGACCATATGTAAAGTATTTCACAGTAAAAGAAAAGTTTGAAATGTAGATATTTCCAAGCTAACGGAAATTAATTTTTTTTATTCTTTTAACTACCCGAAAGAAAGTAAGGAGAAAAACCCAAAAAACAAGAACTCTGAGAGCTATGGAATTAAGAACAAGTTAAAGACCAAAATTTCTCTGCCTTAGCTTAAGGATGGAGAGAAGGCTCAGAGTGAGTCAATGAGAATGTGTCAGCCCTGTGGAAACTGTTGGCAGGCAGCTACCAGCAGACAGACAGTCTCTCAGACCCTTTTTCTACTTCCAGTTTTGAGTCTCCTCCCCTTTGAAACCCACACAAGAATCCTGCACCTTTTGAGTTCAAAAAACATGAGACAAGTGATTTTGGTATTACAGAGCTCAGAGTGATACAACACATTGCAACAGTACTCACCAAGGCAATTACATCTCACAAAATTTACTGCTTGTTTTGGTGACCTGGCTCACAGACAAGGTGTTTCTTACCCTTTACTTATTTGATCAGGAGCTGCTGCAGCTCTGGATTTCTGGATTGTCTCTCCCTGTTTGAAATTTCATTTCAAATTTCCCCCGTGTCTCCCACACTTTCCAGACCACCAGTCATCAAACGCAAAGCAAAATACAGCTGCTATGGTGATGGCATGCAAACTTTTGCAATAAATGCATCACACAAACACTGGAGCTCCCAGCACATCAGCTCCTGCTAGAAAATTTCCCCAGATCTCCCCAGGAGCTTCCTGATACTCAGAGGCCTCCACTGGCCACAGCAAGCTGTGGTTGGGACTTTTGACTTGTATGGACAGTGATGAGGTCATTCCTTCTTCTGCTGGTTTGTTTGCCAGATCATGATTTGAGAATTTTTATTATTGGGTTGGGTTTTTCCCCACTGGGGAATAAAGGTGCTCTGGCAGAGAGGCAGGAGATAAGGCTGCTGTCCTGCAATGAATGTTTCACTTCCCTGCTTTACAAGATTTCCTTCACTACCACATGCAATCTGCTTGGCCTCAGTTACCCTCCCAACTTTGCAGAGATGGTGGGAAGAAAAAAATGCATTAAGATTACAGCAGTCTCAGCTGCTGTAGGAATAAGGACTTGCTGAAAAGCTCAGTTAATGACCAACATCAGTAGGACCAGCATCTGCGACCTACGAGGACACATCCAGCCCCAACAGTACAAATTCAGCAAACAGTTTAACCACAGCAACAGAGATTATATCATTTCTCTGCTTCCTTCCCTGATCAGACTTTTGATGCTTTCTTAACACCCAAACTCCAGTGGGCAAGCTTTTGCACAGAGATCCCCACTGGAGCACTGCCAGTGCCATTACACCTCCACCTGCCACCTTAACGCTGTGTCTGATAAATCAGTGCTTGAAACTGCGCTCAGGAACTACACAATACCTCTGATACTGCTTCCATTAGGGAGAATTTCAACCAGATTAATTAGAAACAGAAGAACTGCAACCGTGACAGTAAAGCCAACAGTTAAATAAGATTTTGGTAGCTTTTCACTGAGACAAACAAAAGCTTTGATGATGTATGATGTAACCTGGTGTGTCCTTAAGCTGGCAGAAGAGCTACTGAAAGCACACAAAACATCATTCCCTGGCTAATTCTTGAATCTCAGCAGCTAATTTTGACACTTCCAGTTATGACTGATTAGCTCAGATGAGACTCTGTTTCTTACAAAGGGAAAATAACACAGCCAACAGCAGGGCAGGCTAAATAATCCATCCCATTCTTCAGAGCTAGTGCATAAATACAAGTATTCTGTAGTTCAAAGAAGTGATGAAGCTGTTTTTATCCACATTTTCAGGTAAAATAAAGCTGCTCCCGTAAATTTACAATCAGAAGTCCTTTCTTTTGTTATGTAGAGAAATAAAAGCTCACATTTGAACAACAGGATGGACTATATATATTCAGTGTTTAAGGCTGATGATTAAAAAAGCATAGGAAAGAGGCACATTGCTCTAGAAATTCTATAAGATTCAGCAGTCATTTAAATCTGCAGCAATAAGCTTTTATTTAAATAAAGTCTTTCAGGATACAGAGAATTTTCACATACAATGAGAATTTATGACGTATTTTGACAGCTTGTATTTCCATTTTCTCTAATATTTCACCTAAACAATTTTATGTTGTTAAGATTTCTTTTTAAATATGATTTTCTTTGAAGGCCTTGCTAAAACATTCTGATTAATTTTGGCAGCAAATGTAATGAAATAATTTGTCTTTTACACCTCCATACATCAAAAAACCTACTGAAAAAGTCAAGAAACATAAATTACAAATCTAGGCTTGCTTTTACTTCAACTTTAATAGAATTACAGTCACCCCTGTCATCCCAGTGGCTAGTGGACTTCATTAGAAGTCTCCTGGGGACCACATGAAATTTTGAGGACTTGGGGCAAGAATGAGGAAAGAGCCTTTGAGTCAGAAGGGATGCAGAGGAGGATCAAGGAAGGCAGAGTCTCCTGAGGGAATCAGCCCTTCTGTAATCCCCTAGGGCTGTCCCCGAGGAGCTGCTGTGCTGGCAGGGATGTGCAACAGTCCTTGCATCACAGGAACAAATAAAAGATGCTCGGAGCTGGAAGAAAAGGGTGAGATTTTGGCTAGAAGTTGTTTGCAGGAGTTTTCTTGCAGAGCACTTGCTAAGTGCCCAGGGCTGGGTGTTTAAACAAGGGCTGGTCTCTCACACACTGCCTGTTGTTCATGGCTAATCCCTTCGAGGTCAAATAACACTCTGAGTAACCACAGCCATCGCCAAGGCAACTGTGGAATATACAGAGTAAACACATGATTACAGATTCACTGTGCGTCCAGGAAGGAGGAGGAGGAGGAGGAAGAAGAAGAGCTGCACTAAGTCACACTTCCACTGAAATCAGTGTAGTCAGTGCTGAAACAACGCTGGACAAATGCAAAGGTGTCAGCAGAGGGTATGAAAAAAATTAGGCTTTTCCTATTTCTTGCTTTGCCTTTACCCAACAACCTCTTCACCACTGAAGTGTTCTTTTCTTAGGTAGTCTCACCAAAATGTGGTATCAGCACAGATAAGGGTGTTATCCACATGGCTACTTTACATCTGAGATGTCACCTCTTCCTTACAGCCCTGGATAGTGCAGGAATGATACTACCTTTCTGAAAGGTCCCTTAAAACTCCGTCTGAAACAAGCTGTATTTTGGGACAGCACCCATCCCAGTCTAGCTTCACATGCCACAAGATCATGGTAAAAATAAAAATAAAAATCCATTATTGCGAAAGGAACAATTGAGAGAAATTCCCTCTTTTCCTTTTGAATCATGAACGGTGTCAGATTTCCCACTAACAGTAACAAAACCGAGCTGCAGGGAGCCCTCCCCAGTGACTCAGTTATGGCTGGGGCTGGCAGGACAGGCAGTGCCCAGAGCATCACTCTGGTACCACCTGGCAGCACCGGTGCTGCAAGGACAGCAGTGATGGGAAAGCATCGTTCCCAGTGCCCGGAAATCCCATCCAGCACTGCTTCCCACATGGGCTGAAGGGAACACTGAAGCTTTTCAGTTCCTTTCTTGGCGCAGCAGCCACGGCCTCGAGGGAGAGGTGAAGTCATTTCGAGCAGGGCTGGCAGAGCCCCACGCCCACCACACAAAAGCAGGGAAGGAGTCACCCCCTCTTGCTCCTCTGGGAGAAAATAAGCATTAATCTAATTGATTGCACGGGGCTCCAGTCATCAGTAGACATAAAAAAGACTTCTCTTCCCAAGCCAACTGAACAACACGAACAGCACAAAAAGAGGAGGAAATGAAAAAAAGAGTGGCCAACTTTTAGCCACTCATTCCCAAGAGAAAAAACTCCAAATTTTACTCCATGTGCATCTCTCACACAACAATACTTAGGAGGCAGGCAAAAAGACAAACCCAAGAAAAACACTTGATGGCCTGTGTTACACTGTGTGTAGCGAAAATGTCAGGCGTTTTTCTCACACTGGTAGCAATGTGCTGCATAGCAACAAGTCAGAATGAAAGGTTAATGGTGAGGACTGCAGCCTGGAACACGCTCATTCCCACGGTCCTGAAGTCACCAAAGGGAAATCCCGGTTCGTTTTGTTTTGTTGGTGGCACAAAGGATAAGAACAGTGGTGGGCTTTCATGTGGAAACCCACCTCATCTGAACCAGCCACAGAGAGATGGCACCAAGCAGCAATCACCTGTACTGCAGGAGCTCCAGAAATGCTGTGTGGGCTCTGAGCTGAACAGGATTTAGGAGAAAGGGCTGCATTTCACCAGGAAGACACAGTGAACCTCATCCAGTCAAGCAGATGGTAAGTGTACCTAAGACTTAGCGGGCTGTCCATCATTTGGGCAATAGCTTCTGTAACCTTACAAATGTACCTTCCACCATCTTTCCTGCATTTAAAAGCTTTTTACTATGTGTATGTGTGACTGTGAGTTTTCTACAACAGCATCTCATAGTTACATATTAAATAACTGTAATCTCAAAAAAAAAAAAATCGAGAAAGAGGTCTTTAAAAGGCAAAAGCAGTCTTCCAAACCACATGTTCTACTCCTTGTGAGCGTGTAAATGAGGAAAAAGACAACAAAGAAAACAGCATTACATTCCAGTCCACTTGTAGTAACCAAATTTCACAGACTGATACACTGATATGCAAAGAAAGGCAATTGTTTACCAGGAGAAATTGTCTCCAGACTCCCAGGATTAATCTTCCTCGTGCTTGTGCAGTGTTGGACAGTTGATCCAGTGAAGACCAAGTAAAAAACTACATCATCTTCAACTTTATCTTCCTCAGTCAGCTGCACTGTAATAACAGAGTCACCCTAGGGAGAAAAACAAGAAATAAGGTTACATTTACATGACCAAGAACTGCATCATCTAAAATAAAACTACTCTTCCTACAAGAGTCACACTCTACATTCATTCACTCCTTTCAAAGGATTCAGATATGCAAGTCAACCGTAGTAACAAAGCCAGCCAACATTTAGGAAATACGCTGAACATTTCTCTAGGAAGAGACATGTGGAAATCTCCAGAGTATATTCAAAATAACAATATAGTGAAATCACACCAAGTCTGACAAAGAGTTGTACATCCCACACAAAGGTTTTTGTACTCACACACACACACATACATATATATATATATATATATATATATAGATAGATAGATAGATAGATAAAGAGAGAGAGAGAGAGAGAGAGAGAAAGAGAGGGAGAGAGACATATCCCATCACATATAGATAGGTAAAACTCCAGAAATGAGACAGTGGCCTAACATTGTCTCTAGATTCAGAAATTTGAAAAAAACACCCTAATTCTTGCTTGAATGCTCACTTTTCCCCTGTCCAAGCTAGCACTGCAACCATAGATCCAACTTGATCACTGAACACACCTCTCATCCACAATCCATAAATGCACAAAGATACCTAAGTTTCATATCCACTGAGATTTTTTTTCCACTTCCCTTACAAAGAAACAGTAACTGTGGTGGTACAGATAGTGGTAGCTCTTCTCTCTCATCCATAAGCTCATGCCTTGGTGAAATGCTCTGTGTTTTAGCAAATACTGCAGTTCTTCAAGCCTCGAGGGGAAAAAAACCTCTCATGATGTTGGTTAAACTCTCCTGCTTAGTATTATGGAGGGTTTACTTCAGTACCTCAGCATATTTTATCATTTAGCTCATCTTTGCTCTCAGGAAAAATTATATTTATAAAAGGTGCACAGAGTTATCACAGTTAACCCAGCAAAGGGTACAGAAAATACACCTGAAATTCCCACATCTGCACAGGAAAGAATGGGGGCAATATGAACCAATTTCGGTATCCCATGGGGAAGGGAAAGCAGGGAAAGAGGATGGCTTATAGTTACTGCACAACTAAATGACCCATTTTCATCTGAAAAAATCCTAAGATTCATTTAGGCAGGAAAAGACCTCCAAGACCATCAGGTCCATCTGTTACCCCAGCACTAAGTCATCACTAAACCATGTCCCCAAGTGCCACATCTACACAGCTTTTAATGCCTCTGGGGTCTCCCCATACTTCGTTTATTAGCCTGAAAAATTTATATAAACTACAAGACACAGAGAACAACAGTCTGTGATGTGACCTTCTGTCCCATTTCTATCAAGATCAGAACCAGGTGGATGCCCCAGTTTTACATGGCAGCTGTGGCTGCCAGCTCTCTGCCACCACCCCACTGAGCATATGGTTACAGCTGCAAATCTGGAAAACATTTTTCTATTATTATTGTTATTGCAGATTATGTAATTCTGATTTGCATATTGAAGAGAATACACATGTCATTTCCTTTAAAACCTCCCCCTTAAGATCACTGAGTTCATCCCTTCTCTTTGTCAAGTACAACTATTGTAGAAAATTCCCAGACTTCCAGGCCCTCCTGTACATCCGTCCCGCGTTAGCATCGCTTCCCACGCTCTGCCTCCTCACATCTCCCTCTTCTCCTTTTACGTTTCCTCCTCCAAGTTTATGTCCAGTTCTCTCCTGATCCAACCCATCTGGCACCTCTTGCCAGGGGCAGGACTGCACCTTGTTTTATACCAACAAGATTTTGCAGGGCAAGTACATGGCCAGCCGTTGGTCTTGAAGTCAAATATGTGGGTCAGTGCTGTAACACAGGAAAGAAAACCATAAATTCAAAAAAAACCCACACAACCTAATGGAGCAGTGAGTGTATTTTGCATTTTCAGAGAATGCAGAGTTACAAATGTAAATTTTACGAAGGTCTCACGCAATAATATCAGACCAGACTTCCAGCTGGGGAGGAAGGAACCGTGTAGCAAAAGTCTATCTTGTATAGAGTCAGTGTTTAAATAAAAACAGGTGCAAAAAGAAATAAATCAAGCTTTAAATTCAAGCATGACCAGTTCACATGCTGAGTTGAAAACTAAATATTCCATTTCAAGCAAATGGATCCAGATTTGAGCTGATGTTCAAAAATAACAAAAGCTTGAGTTTTAACCTACAAACCCTTTGTGCTTTGTTTTTTATATCTGTCTTTGTTCAAACCGTTTCTCCCTTAAGGCATGAACATACAAAGTACTTAAACAGATTTAAAATGCAGGTGACACTTCAGAATACTCACCAACAACACTGAGTGTTTCATCTGTTAAGAGATTTTTCTTTTATTTAACTCCGAAATCAAGTACAGCAAGTCTAATTTTTGTGAAATCAAAGCAAATTGACATAGAGTTTTTGTGAGAAGACACCTGTCCTTCCATGCAAACTACTCACAATTCTAGGAAAAGCAATTTAATTTGCATCAATATTGCAAATGACAATTTGTGTATTTAGTTATTTACAGAAAAAAATAGTAAATACATGTAAGAAACCTCAACACCAGAGGTTCCTCATAACCTGAAATCTAAGCTGGAACTTAAACATATAGCTGAACTTATTTAGATACCTGACCTAATTTTGAAGGTATAAGGTGGTCAGACCAGCAACCTCCAGCACATCTTTCCAGCCAACTTGTTCCTTAGATTTTCATTCAGTTCATTTATTGTTTAAGTCTAGGGAGAGTACAGATTATCATCAGCTGGTATCAAGAACCATTTAAAAGGTTCTTCAGCTGTGTCTAAGCAGTACTTCATGGTGGGAGGGTCTCCACCACCCTCCTCCCACCTCTTCTGGAGGATCCTTCAGCAAACACTGTGGAACACTGAGCATCTTATTTATTGGATCTTTAATTTTAAAATTATCTCCAAATATCTTTGCTAAGACTGGTAATATGCCACTTAATTGCTGTGCACTTCAGTTTACTTACAGGTGTCACCTGAGCTAACTCAGTCACTGTGCCTGGTCCAGGTCACTGTGCTGATGTGATCTCAAGCAAAACACCTTCCCTTCTTCAACACACCTCCCAGTTACTGACAATTTCATTGTTCACTGCAAATTTTAATTTGATTTTTAAGTTATTCAAACAATGTATTTATTTGGAAAGGAAATAACGCACAGCACAAAACCCTCTCTTTCCAAGATTTTTTGGAGTTAAAGAAAATCAGTTACAAATGCAGCTAAATTCCTGCAACCCACATAGAAGACTTTCCAACAGCCCTATTGCATTCAGCCTCCAAAAACATTTTAATTGAAGTATGTTTACCTTTATTCACTTAATATTGTCCAAAAAATGTCATCTGTTCAGTATCACTGCCACACAAGGTGGTTATTATAACCCTTCTTTCATCCCAAATGGCTAGAAATGGGAGGCCAGCCTGCCAATATCCCTTTGGTGAAAGTACAGACAGATCAAAGCCATTCTCTGGAATGCTCCAACAAATAAGAATAATTTAATTTCAAAACTAGTTTGGATCGACTAATATTTACTTGGCTTAAAGCCCATTGGAAATGAAAACATTCCATCTTGGTCCATTCATGGAAGAGGCCACCCCATCCCTTGTTTGGATCTGAAAAATCCCTGGTCTCAGATGTAACAGGATGTAAAGAAGGTGCATGGGGCTCTTTCCTCTACACATATTCCCTTTGCCAAACCAAAGGGAGAAAGCTGGTCTGTCTCACCATGGGACAGGTGCACTGCAAAAGCCAAGCCTCACCTTGAGCTTCAAACTGGAAAACACACAAAGGGATTTAAGAGTGGCCCATCTCTGAAGTTATGGCTTAGTTAAGGCAGCAGAAATACAATTATCTCTAAAAAGGCCCAAATGCCATCATTAGAACTAAACCCCAAAACTATCTAGACAAGGCACCTGTTTGTCAGCACAATTTGCTGGCATAAGCACAACTCCACCTTTTTGGGTAGCAGTTTTTTCAGCACTGCAGTTAAATGTGTGTGGATTGTGTATAGGCAAGGCACAAACAATTCCAAGTAAGCCTGTTAAAATGGACTGTTTACCATCAAAAGCTTTTTTGTTTTAATAGATGACCTTAGCAATATTTGGAAGTGGCAATAAAGTGAGCGAAATCTTTAAGCTTAAAAGAATTAGGATCACTTATGTTATCACCTCAAAAATACTAACCACCTTCCAAAAATAAATAATTGTTGTAAGCATATAAAGACATCTTTCTTTTTCACTTCAAGCTCTGGAAATCTGTCTGGTTTGGGGGAATTTGTCATCATTTGGGACCATGAAAACAGCCCTGGCAAATGCAAAATTCCAGGCTTCAAGATGAAAACCATGAGTTTAGCTGGCAGTAGGGAAGATTCCCTGAGGGATATCAGCTCTACCAGAAACAGGTACTCTTGTCAACAAGGGGACTGAAAAATGGAAAAAAAATATTCTTAACAGGCTGGCTAACGAATTTTAACATTTCTAAAAATAAACAAGAGAGGGGGGAAAAAAAAAGACAAAAAAAAAAAAAGATGAGCTGTATTTTTGTAGCTGAAGCATTTGATTTCTAAGCTGGTTTTTCCCCCCATGGTTCATACTGGGAATTTTAAAGAATGTTGCTTAAGCCACTAGCCACCTACTCTGACCTCCACACACAGAATCTAGAAATACTTATGAAAATTAAGTGTGCATTAGACAGCAATACTGCAGCACTCAAGTGTTACTCAACATTCTGGTGTTAATGAGAAAACACCAACAACCAGTAATCATTAATTTGTTCTACCCAGAAAAGCAAAATGCAAAAATTGCTGCTGGCCATTGACAGCAAACTGTGGCTGTTTTCTCATGCAGCAAAAACCTGCTGAATGACAAGTCCATGGGTTAGATGGGTTGGAGATTCACACAAAGGAAAGAAAGCTTTTCTCCCAAGGTGTTTCCTTCTAAGAGTTGTGGATTTTGGGGCTATGATGCTTTACTGAAGAGGCTGGATTAGATGAGTAACTGTACAACTGCC